ATATATATATATATATATATATATATTATTTTTTGTTAAGGCAGTTGTTAAGTGAACCACAAAACCATTAAGAAGTCAGGTTTCCTCCACTGTCTTATCAGAAGACAGTTAGAAAGGTCAGGAAATGGTAATCACATGAACCCAGGAGGCTGCCACCATCATAAAGGCCTGCTGGTTGCCATGCAACTGAAGGGATGGTTGTAAGTGAAGTCCTAAGCCAGCTTTTTCAGTGCCTTCAAATGTAACTTCAAATGGTTGCTAAACAAACGTTGATGACTACCTGTATGTTACTACCTGTTGATTTCAGCAGATTGCAATATATGAAAGATATAACATATCTTCTACCTTGATAAAGGAGCAAGGCAGGAAAACCCACAAGAAACTAATTTATCCTTTTCCTTCTGCTGTTGCCTAGTTCAGAATATTTTTTCCCATTCTGCTTCCCACTTTAGGGAAGTCTTTAGCACTAGCACTTAGACTTACACACAGTTTCACAGTGTTTTCCAGCCCTTCCTAACTGGTTTACAGAGACAACCTATTGCCCCAACAATATGGGTCCTCATTTTACCCACTTCAGAAGGATGGAAGACTGAGTCAACCTTGAGCCAATGAGAATCGGACTGCCAAACTCCAGGAAACCAGCAGGCAGCAGAAGTAGCCTTGGGTTATGCTTCCTATGCTATTTCTTTACACTATGGTTAACTGCAACTGTTTGAAAACATCTCGATTTGAAAGGCATTAAAAGTTTTCTTGAGCCGTTACCTTTGCTGGGCACCCATAATGCATCTGCCACTCTTGCAAGTACACTTATCTGAGTCATGCTCCATGCCAAAAATATGACCCATCTCATGGGCCATTGTTGAAGCAGTAACAAGTGGATTGCTTCCGTGATCCTGAAAACAAGAGAACACTTTGTCTATTGTTAGTCCTCCAAGGAACTGAAAGTGAATTTAATTATTACTAGCATTGAGCTGAAACCTTTGCTCAAGGACTTTCTAATGAAAAAATCAAAGAGTTAGAAAAAAAGATTAATAATTTGCAAAGCTGAACTAGAGTTTCCTATAAAAAGTATTCTCTTTCTTTAAAATAACAAAGGGTACTAACAGTTTTCCTTTCAGTAGCTTAGAGATGACACTTCATCCACAATTATCTCACTGGAATGCTGTGATAGTACAAAGGGGTCTTCTATTATTTATTATTTTTATTAATTAAAAGTATTATTTATTTGTCCATGTTAAAAACATTTAATAGATTTTTAATTTAATAGAAATCTAGCTTCAAAGAGAGTGGAAGGGGTAAGAACCTTTCTCCAGATCATGCTGCTTTTTCTATAGGCAACAGGGTTTGCAACTAGTGATTGGTTTTTAATGTGGAGAAGCACTAAAAAGTATGTTTCTCTGAAACCGGAAGCTAAAGGATTACACCAATATTCCTCAATTTATGAACTTAACTGAGATTGGCAATTATAGTTTGGAGATGTCAAATTCATATATATAAAGATGGATAAAAATATTGTGGATCAAATATAAAAAGTCTTTATTTGTAATAAAGTTATTCCTGCATTAACGTGTTTTCATTGACCATAACCAAGTAACAGATAGTATTATGGCCAGCAGACCTGGCAGCTGATTCAGACAGTGAGGTGGTTGGGGAGGAACATGGGCCAGTCCTGGAGTCTGGGGAAGGCTCGGACAAGGGCTCTGCGTCAGAGGCAGAGAGGGGACCAAGGTCATCTCATAGTTATTTGCTGCCTCTGGAGCCTCCAGAGTCTAACATCAGCAAGGCAGAAGAACAACGGGAGTCTGGTCCCAGTGTGTGCAAGTGCAAAGCTGCCAGAAGGCAAGAACAATTAAGAAAACAGGGTCGACTTGGGAGTAAGGCTTGGAGATGATTGGCCCCTCCATAAGACATAAAAGAAGAGCAAATGGGCCGTGAGCTTTTGCAGGAAGCAATTAGTTCATCTGGTCGGTTCAAGCTTTGAAAAGTTCTGTTTGACTCTGTGCTCAGTTTGGCCTTGCTCTGCATTTGGCAATTAGGTCTTTGGCAGCCTTCCAAGGGAGATAATGGGGGTGTTTATCAACATTCCCCTGAAAGACTGTGGCAAGTCAAGCAGACATCTGTCGGAACCTTCACAGACTGTTTTGAAGCCTTGCGGAGTGTTAATGACCATAAATTACAGCCCTCTAAATAAAAGAGGGTTTGGGGGACTAAGATTGTGCTTTATGCTTTCTCCTGAAGCCGAAGTCAGAACAGGCAGCTTTTCTACCAACCTGAATAATTGCTGTAGAAAACGAAGGACTGCACATAGTACTGATGAAAGCCAATCCTACAGTTGGTCCGGTGAAGTCAATACCCCTATAAGAAAGAAAAGGGGAGTAAAATTTGTAGAAGATGGGAGCACAATCTGTAGCCTTGGGCCATATCAGAGGTGGGTTTCTACTGGTTTGGACCAGTTCCGCTGAACTGATAGTGGCATGCAGGCCTGAGTTGCAGACCCAGCAGCGATGCAGGCCAGCCACGCTCCCATACCAGTTCCCCGGTCGCCGCCATTGCCATCTTTTTGCCCTTGAACTGTGCATGTGCGCGCAGCGTGCATCCAGTGCATGTGCATTGTGGAGCGCACACCCAAGCGAACCAGCAGTAATGCTGGCCAGAACCCACCCCTGGGCTGTATGAAACCTCTTATGAGCCGCGGTGACTCAGTGGTGGGAGTGCAGTACTGCAAGCTACTTCTGCTGACTGCTGGATGCCTGCAATTTGGCAGTTCGAATTTCACCAGACACAAGGTTAACTTCCATCCTTCCTAGGTGTGTAAAATGAGGACCCCAGATTGTTGGGGGCAATACACTGACTCTGTATACCGCTTAGAGAGGGCTGTAAAAACACTGTAAAGTGGTATATAAGTCTCAGTGTTATTGCTATTGCTAATCCTGTCCTCAGTTCCTGCCAGTCAGGATGTTAGAATTCATTTTAGGCTCTACTCACACAAGTCATTTGACTAAGCAGATTGTTAAACATATACAGGGTGAATTTTCACTACATGCTAAGCTTGGCTGATGCTAACCTTCATTAAGTTGGGGAAAAGGGTTAGCATTTTGTATGAATCCAGCCCATTAGGTTAGTTTAAATTCCATGTACTGTAAAAACCCCAAATGCAGATTTCTTTCATAATTCGATTTCTCCTATCAGTTTAGCTGTGGTGTTATAAAAAAAAACTTGAGCTTGGAAAAGTGATTAAGGGGAGGAATTAAATCAACATCTGTGGGAAAAATAAAATTGATTTTTTTTTCAATTTTTTATATTCTCCTTTTTTGCTTTGATATGCATTCTATCTAGCCCCTAATATATTTTATAAGACCCATACGTTGTGCACAGATCTTGTAGGATTGCTCACACCACAGTTATTACTTGTCCAATATATTATAGATATAATCCAGTAAATTTGTCAATTTTGCACTCATAAAATTGTATGGCAATATATAGGCTGAACTCACACTGCATCTATAACCTGATCACATTAAGATTTAGATGACAGTTTTAGACAACCTGTCAAACTCAAGATTAGCTATTTTATTATTTTATTTTATTCTTGGTTTATCTCTTGTGTAATGGAAGTATTCATTCAGCTGGTACAGAATGGGAACCAAAACATCATTTAATCGGGTTAAAAATGCAGGTATAAGTACAGCCAAAGCATAACAAGATAATCAGTTCAGTTTCAATTTCAAATCCAAATGAAATGAAATCAAGCTGAGTTTTTGACCTGCAATCATTCAAGGATTTTTCAAAACTAGATCTCATCTACAAAAAAATGTTTGGCTTTGAAATATCGTTTACACGTGGTTTAAAGATGTAGATGTAGATGTAGATAAATTTATTAAAGCATGCAGCATAGAATGGAAGTTCTGTGCAAGCACTCACTTTCCCATAATCCTCCACTCCCGGCCACCCCCTTCCTTTTCCCAACAATCAGACATACGTGAGTAACTCAGCAATATCATTATTTTTGCGCATCTTCAAAACAGACTCTCTCCACTTCGCAAAGCGGTCCAAAGTGACACCTGCTGCTTCGTTGATCTCAATCTTGTCTGCATCGGACCAAATTTCTAAGCCAATAAATGCTATGTGAATTTTCAGAACTTTGTAAACCTGTGTGGTGGACATGACATCAATCAGAAACTCAAACACAAGTAAACTTTGAGAAACATTTCAAGACTAAAAAGCAACTGACATTGGCCTCTATGGGTGAGTGAAATGGAATAGATTTGGGAATCCATAGAAGAAAATCTCTAGAGTAAAGATTTGAATTATGGAGTCCTTGATGCTCTTTGAGCCTAGTGGCTTGCTTGCAGACATTTAGTCAGACTGGGACAGGACCACAGACTCTACATAGAGAATAATAACAGGTGACGCAGTAGTTAGAGTGCAGTACTGCAGCCACTTCAGCTGACTGTTAGCTGCAGTTCGGCGGTTCAAACCTCACCGGCTCAGGGTTGACTCAGCCTTCCATGCTTCCGAGGTGGGTAAAATGAGGACCCAGACTGTGGGGGAAATATGCTGACTCTGTAAACCG